CCCCCCCCCCTCTCTCTCTCTCTCTCTCTTCGCACGTTTCTTCCCACAGTTCGTCCTGTTTCTCTCTGTGACAAGCACACATAAACAACACTCCAAGATTATCCTTTCTACTGCACATCCTGTGACTCGTGTATTGCATGATACCCAACTAGTCATGCATACACTTCCTCAAAGCTCTTTGAGTGACCCTCAATTTCCGTCTTGAATTCCCAACACCTCAGCAGGCAGGCTCTTGATGGTCATTACTTTCTTGTCATCGATGACCACTGCGTTTTGATACATTTGCTCCTGGCGTTGAGCTCAAAGACGACGACCCCTGGGCTGGTCCTGAAGAATCTGCACTACTAGCAGTGCCCAAAACAGGTCCTGTACTCTCTGGGTCCAGGTTATCCGTCACATCCCCGCTCATTGGTGCTGTCGGCGATGTTGGTGGTGACATGGATGCTGAAGCCGAAGCTGGCAGTGTTACTGAGGAGGAACCTGCAGCACTCCCATTCACAGAGGTACTCTCACTCACATAGCTGACAACCCCACTATTGCTACTACATGCATTGCTGCTGCTACTTGTTGTTACAGATGTACACCCGCTTGCAAGAACCAGCCTCGGTTGTTCAGCATGGCTAGTATTGTTTGAGCTTCCCATTGCATTCCTTGATGGGTGCTCCTCAGACTCCCCGCCACTGCTCCGCTGACTATTGGATGGTGGCATCATGGGAGGAGGAACTGTTTCTCTCCTTGCCCCTGATATGCGGCCAGCGAGATGGCCGACAGCTACAATTGGAGGCGGAGAGGCAATGCCGTTCCGCGGTGGCGAGAACACCAAGGGCAGGTACTCGTCCGTGTCACATGCAAACCTGGAGTTCCGAAAGTGCTCTTCCAGGGCCGCTCGCCCCTACATAAACATCACAGCAAAGAGAAGAACAAAAAAATAATATGCTTCAGCCCCCCCATAAAGATCTATGGGAAAGAGTGACAACCACACAATGATTGCCAGCTCAGCCGGCAGCAACAACTTAAAGCAGTGAGCCATTGTGGGCCAAGCATTCCATAGACTATCACGCAAAGGTCGGGAAGAGAAACACCGACTCACTCGACTAAAAAACCATACAGACAAAAAGCAGTTCCATCAAATCGATTATAACCGAAACCATGCACATGATGATGCTTGCGCCCTGAGGAAAAACCTTCAGAAGCGCACTACTGCAGCAGCTCACAAGATTACAAAGTTGCAACACACTATCAGAGAACAATACAATCCCTGTAAGATCAGATGTGCAGCCTGCAAACAGCCAAATGGCTGTCGACAACATGACATACACAACAGGGAACACAAGGAAGAGGTCTCTGACTTTCCATCATGAACATCCATTCAGTACGCGATGGAGACAGGAAGACAATAGAGGTGGTTACTCGAACTGGGGAAAACGGAGAACCGCAATGGAATGTCTGTTGCTGCCAACTCCGAGTCAGTGCCATTAAAAAGATCCAAAGAGGGAAAAAAGCACTGCAGTCTGAGTGCACTCTGTCAAAGGTAACTAGCGGTACCCCAAACGGGGATATCAGATGGAATGGATTCCTTTGAGGCCAAGGAAGGCCTACTGCAACAACGATATTACGGTCTGGTCATCCCAAGTTGGTGTCATTAACCTGTTGTTCCCTGCATGCAGTACAATACAGCTCCCCCCCCTCCCCCCTCCTCTCTCTCTCTCTCTCTCTCGCCATCAATCCCACATCCGTTACAAGACCTATCCAATGTTTCCCTTATGACGTTCCTTTCCACGGACCTTAGGGTCCTCGGTTCGATTCCACACAAAACACCGGCTTTCATTCTCATCTGCATGCTTTGCAGACTGCTAGCCACATTCACAGCAAATAAGGAACGCAATCACGTGCTTTACATGAAAGGGTAGCGTCACTGTACCTGAACTCTGGCATATGTGACCTGACATATTTTGCGGCTGTTGAAAGCTTCCCATTGCTGGGCATGAAATGCACGATACAATTTCAGCGTTGCAGCGACAGAGGTGAAATTCACAAACGCATATCCTAGATTACACCGATTCCTGCGCAGGGACACCATTCACAGACAATCGATCCATCATCAATCGCAATCCTGAGGCACATGGCCTTAGCCTGCTGCAAGAGAGCAACAACACTGTCCAACAATGAACTTCACACCTGCTGGTTCATCTGTTCGGCAGACACACATCCATATTGAGAAGCTGCCCTTCTGGCCTGACGCAAATGGCATTTCTGCACCAACGACTTCACTAACCCTACAACCCAATCCATATGCAGCTTTTGACTTCTGATGCCACTATCTCCAAGGTCTGATTTGGAACGAGATCTGGATATAGTGGACCACAACAAAACCGGGATCACCAAATCTGTAAGTAGTCGGGTATAGAGAGGGTGGCATGCATGGCGGAAGGCTTCACTGTTATACACCGGTATGATTGCACTTTTGTACACTGTCGCAGCTGTAGTGGTTAAGGGTGCCCGTTTCATTCCGTGCATGCGTGGATGGATGGGTACGAGGCCTGAGAAAGTACTGACTATACTCCAGCGCAGTAACCAGCCTCGAAATTGTACCGGGAATGCGGTGGGCTGTGGGTAAATCCCCTGTTGGATGATGGTCATGTGCTGAATTGGAGCGAAGTGTGCGAGAGTTTTACGTCTGTGTGGTGTTGTATGCGTGTTTAAGGACAATACAGCCATGCAAGGGTGCGGTGGATATCAGGACCCATACGATTCCACTTTGACACACCTTGTCATGGCTGTAGTTGTTAGGAGACTAGGCTCCTGTGGCCGAGGGTGACAGTTCGATTCCTTGCACGGACGGGTCCAAGCCTCCAAGGGCAACGAAAGTACCGACATAAGTTGTTTCCAGAAGAGACATCAAGGAGCGCATTTCAGATTCCTTTTCCTTTTTTCCCTGTTATCTTTTTGGAACCAATTTTCCAAAGTGTGTTTCGCCTCTGTGCAGGGCCCATGATGACCTTCTTCCTATCATTGCACAGTTGCGATCAATTTCGTTCCCATCTCACAGGTTTGTGTCATCCCCGCCCAGGGCAATGATAAACTTCCAAATAATTCGAATTTCAGCAGATTTCTAGAAGAAGACAACTCTTGTTCTTCCCAGTCCGGCACAGGAAGCAAGAGAACAACACTGTTCCAGCGGTGACAGAGGAACGCTTGTGCTGGTGCTGATTGCACTTCAGAGGCCACACAACAAACACACGCACAGCTTCTGACACCGGATGAGTGATCTCACGATAATCCTGTCCATGATGTCAAAAGCAGCAGCAGTGAATCTCAAGCTTCGTACAAGTGCAACCTTTTCGAAGCCCTAATGTCTATTGCATTGTCCACGGCGCAATGGATTGGTAAGACAAGCCATTCATCAGCTTGTTCATCGGGAAGCAATTAAGCATTCGGTTTCCATATCAGTGGGTGGCAATAACACAGGCTGAACTTTTCGGTTTTTACACGCTGTCTTTGCAGTTCGTTTCTTTGAACAGAATGTGATGACTTGCTGAACTTTTTGGTTTTTACAACCACAGAAATCCAATAAGACCAACCCGAAACTGTCACCGACACTCATCCCCTTGTCTGCAGGGGGGATAAAAAGCATGCATGCACATTTCCATCCTAACTGAATCTCATGTTTCCAATGTAAAATGAGAACCCCGCACAGACTTTCCTATACCTTCCTGACCATATTTACTGGCAAGAGCACAGCTTGTAATCAAATGCAGTGCAAAAGTAGCTTTCAAAACCGTGTTTCGTTTCAACGGAGAAGCACTGACTACATGCGCTCGCACTCAGAGGTTCAAATGGCATGATAGTCTAGCTCTGGATATGATTGAGGTCTTCAGATACATATGCTGCAAAGAGCTGAGGGTACTTGCAGTCATGACTGACAAAACTGAACCCCAACGACACTCCAACAGTTAGCTCTTGTCTCAACAGGCTGAAGACAGGAGCGAAAAACACTTACTTGAAATCGATCGGAAGATACACAAAGTCGTATGCTGAAATTGGCTCTTTATTTGAAGGATCTGCTGCTACTGCTGTGTTGCACCTGAGACAGTGTGCATCTAGAAGAGCTAAGAGCATCCCTTGACTGCACTCACCGCAGACGGATCACATTCCGCACAGCAGAACAGAACCAACAGAGCAACACACACCAAAACAGGTCAGTATCGCGCCGTTTTACCACTGGCATGAATAAATGAACCACCCCCTTGCACATGCAGTTCAGCCCGAGCCGGAAAGCAAAACCCAGCAGAAAGGAAAGAAGAAGCAAAGCTACCACTTCCAGGCAGTGACATGGAGTACTCAGCAGCTACCACACAATTCCAGCATTCTTGGCTTTTAGGACACAGCGCACACAGCTGACATAAACGACGACTTCCCGCCCATCCGAGTCCAATCGCATGGCCATAAATCCCTCAAACATAAACTCCAAAGCATAAATGATTGACATCCAGACATGAGAAGGTTCATACAGAGAGAGATCAAAGAACAAAAATTCCTTGACACCACCATCTACTCCGCCTGAAGTCCCCACTTCAGACAAGCTGTTTTGTTATTACAAACAAACACAGATGCTGCTCAGTTGTCTCTTCCATATCAATGCACCCAGATTGTACGCAGTTTGTTTTTCATCGTTTAAGAACAGGACATCGATTTACACCATATTCTCCCTTGCTCCCAGATCCTCTAATCTTGCACAGAAATGAGTCCAACACGATGAGCTCCTCCACATTGCGCTGTACGGGATTCTTGCCACATTGTTGCACACCTCCAGATGCTTGCAGTACATTAAGCTCAAATACTCCAGCGCAAATAGAGCCACACCCAAAATCTGAGGCCCATGTTCTGTACACATCACACGGTCACGCAAGGCACATTGCTTGACAGAGTAGCACCGCCGGATCGAAATATGATCCAATAACCAAAACGGCAAATACCCATGGCAATAGAGCTAGGCAGAACTCACCTGTATTTATTTGGGATGTTCTTGATCATGAGGGTTGTCTTTGGGCTTGCCCCATTTTCACCCTCCCTTTGCGCCATTGCCTCGTCAAAGATGTACTGCGATTGCACAGTGTCCCTCGATGCATTCTTGGCTCCCAGGCCACGTTCTGTTGTACCCTTGGCCCGGGTTGCACAGCCTCCACCACTTGGCACCCCATCCCGGTCTGTGGGCAGCATGTCTCCCTTGCCTGTCGGGCCCCCAGCTGATGGTCCATTGCTTGCTATCCTTCTCCTACGACTATCACCCCTCCCCCCTGCTCCGAAGCATGCGCCACTGGCCCCCCTTACAAACTCACCAGCACTTCCTCCGCTGTATCCAGAAGCATGGCATACACCACCGATCACGGCATTTCCCCTTGCTGCACTTGTGCATCCCTCGACTCCCCCACCATTGGGCCCTGCATTACTAGCGGGGTTATTCTTCATGTAAGGTGATCGACCTTCAACACCATGCATGGGGCGAGGAGCTCCAGGACTGTTACCCGACGGGGACACAGGAAGACCCCATGATGTGGGCACAGCAGGTGGGAGAGCTTGCAATGTACCAGGCGGGGGCTGATGATATCCTGGAGGAAGGGGTTGAGGTATCGTACTCATTGGAGGAGAGGAGAGGGGCACAAGTGGTGTTGGGAATGCCCCAAAGTGAGTCCACATGAACTGGGCTGGTGGTGCACCAGCAATCGGTTGTCCCGTCATCGCTGCAGCTGACTGCAAGGAACCATCCGGTGCAGGCCAGCCTAAATAACTGTACACAGGCTGGCCAGCTCCTCCTGCAACAACTGCACCTTGAGGCAGTCTGTTTCTTTGAACAACACCAGGACCTGGAAGTGGTATAGCAACCTGTCCCTGTGCATGTGTCTGGGCCTGTGCTTGTCTTACTCTTTTCAATTGCCCACCTGGCCGACTGAACTCGATCTTCACCCGCTTCCCTCCGATCTCCTTTCCATCCAGTGCTTGTAGCGCGCGCGCAGCATCTCTTACATCATAGAATTCAAGAAATTTGTGCTGTCGCTTTGTTGGCGTCTCCCTGAGCTCCTTTATCGCACCTTCAAACATGAGCCACATACGGAGAGCACACCAGACCAACACAAATTGCCATTCGGCTTAGCAACGAACTTCAACATCACCAGAGTACAGGAAGATGGTTGAGTAACACCAATCAGAGTGCAAAATGGACAATTGATGATGACCAGGGGGGATATTTTGGCCAGCAATCCAATAGGCAACCCACACTGCATCCACCTTATCGACACCCACAAGGTTGAGGGGCTCCAAGAAGATAGTTGTGCAAATCATAGCAGAAATTAGAAGTCACTCTCCCTTCCGCGAGGGCAACCGCCTGCCGCACAGGGAATAGTTAAGCTCAATGCCTTCGAGCATCTACCCTGCACAGAAAGGCCTTGTGTTCAACATACTCCTTCCTCAAAGTTAGCCTCCCTAAGACTTCACTACCAGGAAGCTGTCAAATCTTGTCTACCAACCAACAGGGAACATGGCAGACACAGGGAAGCCAGAGAGTAGTCAGGCTACCCTGACAATAAGCTGGGGCCTTGAGAGCAAAGCCACTAATTGTAGGTCTACAGTCGAAAATATTATGTGCTCCGCACCATCTCCCCCCCCCCCCCTCCACAACCACCTTTCCGCCCACATCACTGGGAACACGGAGGTGGTCGGTGAGTCAAAACTACATGCAACTAGCAGGAAGGTGTTCACTACATCATTTCACAGTCGATACCCCAGAGAATCTGGTGTGTGCGTTTAGAAAGGAGATTTTGGAGAATCTTTTGACTCTCTCCCTGTGTGTGTGTGTGTGTGTGTGTGTGTGTGTGTAATGTATTCGCTAAAATCCAAAAAGCAGGTGTGAGTCTCTCACCATGAACGTATGGACGTGCAAGGGTGAACGTGTAGACAGGCATTAGATGCCAAAGAATGTGCAAATAGCCGTCTTCAACAGTGCTTTTGGCCCTCAATGGGTACACTACCTGACCAAAAATTGTTTTTGTTGGATCTGACTACTTTATTTGTTCCCGATTACAGTGAACAAGCGAACCCGCAAATTGATGGAGAAACCCAATTACAGAACAAAAGGGTCACCAGTGACAGGTTCCTTGCTAAAGCCTAGGTTGCCGGGCACAGGGGAAACCCATAAGAATCCTCAGCCACAGCATACAAGGACAGAAAGGACATATAGGAGCTTCTGTACCTCACAACGGACATAGATCTTTGCACAAGATCATCTCTTTTACATCGCCTTCTACAGCCCATGGGTACGCCGAGCCAGAAAAAAGGGATTTCCTCGTGCAGCTACTACATACACACCTGAAAACGCACATCCGGTCTTCTGCTTTCGCAAGCTGAAAACTGTCACCGACTCCGTGCTTACCTGGCAGGAGCATTGATGCACATCATGAGCCCGCACTCAAGACTCCAAAACTACAATGTAGCAGTTCTTGGGCTGTATGTCTGACGAGACATCAACGAAACTGCAGCACGCTCCTCGACAATCTAGGCTCCCCTGACAGACACACGACAGAGTAGTATCTTGGACAACAGCACCCCTGCTTCGCAGGGGAGACTTTCGAGCCGAGTAGTGATGACAATCATCACAAAGGGTTGCCTTCCGAATATGGACGACATCGCACTTACTTTTCTTCTCTGATATGTTTTGCTGCGAACCTGGACAGGCGTTTGATACAACTGCCAAGAACATAAGCAGAGTAAGGGACGAGATAAATTCACATCACTTCGAAGCAGAACCCTCCATGCAAAGCGTCCATGCAATATGTCTTGCTGCGTGCCTGGAGAGGCGTTTGCAACTGCCAAAAACATAAGCAGCGAGGCTCAGCGGAAAGCACACAGCCACGCCATGGCAAAGGCAGTGTCATGTGCACCCACACAATAAAGATCTTCTTTCCTTCAGCGATCGATCTGGACAAATACCCTCCATGCAAAGAGTCTGACCTCAAACACCTGACTGCCAAGATCTTGAAATCCAAGACGACTGTGCAAAATATCACATGGTGCCAAGTCAAACCAGTGTTGGCTGACCAGCGCATTTCCGTCGTCGCCAAACAAACAGGGAATCAAACAATGGACGAGGGAACCAGAAGACCTCCTCGAGTGCCTTGCTTGCCTGCTTGCTAGGAAAGACCACCCACGGACAGCAGTCTGGCTGAGCGCAAGACCAATCACAGCTGAAGGAAGGAAACGGCTCTTTCAAGACCCTAAGCAAAAGACAGAGGTAGGCAACTGAGGACAGAGCAGAGGCAACTGTTGGCACGGAAGTCCCACCAAGGAACTGAGGTGCAAGCTTGAACCAGGCCACAAAGAGCAAGATGTCAGACAGCACCAAGGTCCAAGGTGGGATTCCAAAGCGACCAAAAAGACAATTGACAAAAAAGCAAAATAACAAGCAACAGACCAAGAGTACAAGGGGGTCCGAGAGGGAGCTGAAGAGGTGGGCAAAATTACTCTACTTCTTAGTCTACGTCTATGTGTATGCCATATCTATGTCCACGAGACGTAAGCCATGTGGCACTGTGCCTCAACTGTGTTTCGGTCGAAGCACGCTAAATGTGGACGCGATAAACTTGCCCTTCTAGAAGGACACCTGGCAGCTCGTATCACCCAGAATTTTCACAATCAACTCCGCATGGCCCCACTCACTGACCGAATTGCAAAGGCTTCATTGCTTCTATCGGCTAGACGTAGCTTTCTTCTCAGTCTATTTTATTTGATACAAGAATGCCAGGTTCGGTTGGCAGCACTATAAAAACAACTCACGTCTCCAAACAAATTTGGCAGCCGTATCAGTTAGCCGGGTCATCACCAATATGCTTGCCTCATTCTTATTTAGACCGCTTTCTTTTGTTCGATGCATTTCATTCTCGGTCTTTTCGTCCCTTCATGTTCAGAATTTTTGAGAAAAATGCATGACCTGTCTCCCACAGCAAGTTCAAGGCCTTTCTCATGGACGTGCGTAGTAAGTAGTGCCCTTCTATATCCTTTCACACTATTCTTTTAGGTCAAGAATCCATGATTCAGGAAAGCTGTTTCAAGCATACGACCATTGGTCATCCTACATAGGCACACCACAAATCAAACCAGGCAACAGCAAGAACACGAATGCACTTCAGACTCTGACGATTGCACAGGTAGCCCAAAGGACAGCACCCTATGCGCTGCTGCAACTTCGGTTTAGCTTGTGGCATAGCAGCATGTGCACAGTGCTCAAACAGCATTCAGATCGCAATCTGGTTCATTCTGTCCCTCGGCAAGGCAAGTGCTTTTCCACATACAGTTTTATACAGTCAGTCCAGTCCTCAAACGTAATGGCAGTAACGGCTCACCTCACTGACATTAGTTCCCTGATTGGTCCGTCGACGCTCAGCACTGTTCTAGACAAAACCGTTCTGTCCTTGGCAGTCTTCCTTTCTGTCCAGTTCCTACGACTGTGTATTCCGTCCTCTCACTCTCTCTAAGTGCTCTGCAGTCCTGTCGCATAACAATCTTTTCCATGACGTACTCTGGTCTGTCACTGGCTCTCATTTCTGAATTCACATAAATGACTGTCACACTCGATGACAGATCTACAGACGAGCATTCACATTGAATCCCACTGGGCTTGCCGATCCCACTGGGCTTGGCTCTCGGCATGGAGATGCTGCTGTGCATTCGAGCCTATATACTGGGGGTCAAACACTTAATTCTTCCCCTCAAGGTCCTTTGATGTCCTACTCTTCCATGTTCACTCTCTCTTACGGAGCTCCTTGCCAATGCCTTCAACCCTCCCTTACTGCGATGGCATTAAAACCGACTGCAGCAACAACCTCCGCACCATCCCCTGCCGTGCCTGTGCTGTTCGCATTCACACACTTCGCGCATGTGCCTGGTTGAATCTTTCCTCAATGAAGCTGCTTCCCCACCAGCCGATCACAATCAGATCCTTGGTGCTCCACCCAAAAAGAAATGTTTGTTCCATGGGTCAATCAACCAACCGAGCAAAGCAAAGGTGCAAGCAAAAGCAAGCAACCAGCCAGCAGCAAACTGTTCGTCTTTTCCCGACTTCCTCATCCATGAGCATGCCAACAACAGTCCATTACACGGATACGATCAGCCCTTTCTGTTGCCTGCTGTGGTGGTCAGTCTGACTACTGTTCGCCCACGACAACACCCATCAAGATCATGTGTCTGTGTCATCGCAGCAGCCAGCCAAGACAGCTCGCAACCGACATCTGTCAGCCAAACTTCACAATAACTACCAATGCTCTTGAAACAGGGCTGCCGGTATTGAACAAGTCTGTCGTCGAAGATTACTACCACCCATTTCTGGAACGCGCACCAGTGTATAGCCTTAAGGCAGCAACAGTCCTCCATACCAGAACACCATCCCTGATGCTCGTCCAGACCTGTTTGTTGTGCTTCAGCAAATCAATGACAAAAGGCATATATATATCGTCATATATATATATATGGCCATTAAGACACATCCGCGCACAGCAGTTGCAATGGCTCCCTTTGCTCAGTTGTGATGGAACATCGCCGCCCACCAGTAGCAATCGCCCCACACCCTCCCATGCATCAGTGTGATGTCCGATCAGATGGTCAGGTAAGAGCATAACAGCAGTGAAAAACTGTGCTCCCTTTCTGTCGCAAAGGCAGCCACTATGCCGTGCCTCTATGCCTGACCCTGTCCTGTCCAAACAAACAGGCCTGAAGATATATATGCCGTATGGTTCCTCTTTTGATCAAACTGTTTCTCTCCCATTCCAGATAGGCTTTCTGGTTGTTTGGGTGGAGACGGACCTATCTGCAAGAGTTGTATCAAACAGTCTGCATGCAAATTAATAGCCTCTGATGACATCAAGCCACCTCAAGTTCAAACAAACACAAAGGCAGTCCTGATTCGGTAAGCAGCTCACATTTCCTCTTCAGTCGCAATCGGATGCCAGCTGCACAGCCTGAGCAGGTCCTACTCCCAGTGTAAAAGCAGTCGCAACCCTGATCCCGGACATGAAGCGGAAGGCACTCCCGAGCGCAACCCTGG